CCATGTACCTTTAGGTACACACTCACAATTTGTATTCATTCCAAAATCCACAGGGGGGGCCGGGTTTGTAGTGCTGGCCTAGCATGTACAAGGAACTGGGTTCGATTCCTAGCACCACATAAAAAAATAAATTAAAAAAAAATAAAGTTATTAAAAAAAAATCCACAGAGACCTTGCCTGACACCTTAGTGGAAGGAAAAGACTGGAGTCTGGTAAACCTAAATGCTAATCTTGGCTTTGTTATTTATTAGCTGTATTACCTTGTATAGACTTATTAATCTTTCTGAGTCTTTTTTCATTTATGAATAGGATTTATTAATAGGAATAAATATTGTATTGTTCTAAGAATTAAATGACTTCACAAATGGTAGTTTTAATTTCTATAGTAATATACTTCTTATTATATGGGTTTTGTGGGTCTTTGCTCTCTCATGTTTCAGAGAAAATTTTTCATAGGAGAGTTAAATTTTGTTTTTCAAAGTCAAGGTCCATTCTGTCTTTGTTAGCAAAGAAGCTGTTCCTCAAAGTGAGGCAGTCCAGGGCTGAATAGATAATACAGGAAGCTTGAAAGCAACTCTTGCTAAGTAGCTCAATGGAATCATTGGATGTTAATTATTACTGTTCTAAAAAGAACATTTTTTTCAAATCCAGTAGGTCAGAGGAAAGGATCCTTTTGACTACATGACTCAGAAGTAATAAAAATCTTCCTGTTCCATCTAGAGGAATTGATCAATCATTAAATAACATCCAAGTGAAATTTTCATTCACCTATAAAGCATGAACAAACCTTCCCACATTGGCTACTGGTCCCAAACTCTCCTTGCCACATTGGAAGGCTACTCACTAGCAAGAACAACCAGGTCACAGACATCTCTTCCTCAAACCCAATGTATACTTCTCTGCTRTGATCCTTCACTCAGATTTCCATCTCCTACCCTCCTTCCCTTCTTCCTTTCTTCCTTCCCACCTTCCCTTTCTTCCTTCAAAATTTACTGAGAGCCAACTCTGCACCACTCCTTGTGCTAGATACTGCGGACATAAGGAAGACTAAGAATAAAACAATGGCTACTCATTCTTTAGTACCTAATAAGAGACTTAACCACATATTGGATGCTTTACACATATTATGTCAATCCTCAAAGCACTTTTGAAATAGGTAGATAATATTATCCCTGTTTTTTTTTTTTTTGAGAGAGAGAGAGAGAGAGAATTTTTTAATATTTATTTTTTAGTTTTCGGTGGACAACATCTTTATTTTATTTTTATGTGGTGCTGAGGAGCAAACCCCGCACCACGCATGCCAGGCAAGCGCGTTACCACTTGAGCCACATTCCCAGCCCCTATAATCCCTATTTTTAACAGGAAACTCAGAGGTGGGAAATGACCTGAGAAAATGATAGAGTAACCTTGTTTAAAGAAACCTAAATAAATGTATTAGAAATTAAAAAAAAGAAAAAATAAAAGATAAACAGATAACTCTTAAAAATTTTAAGAGTTATTTCATAACTATTAAAATAGTTATTACTTTTAACAGAAAGAGAGAGAATAACAAGCATTAATGAAGCTGTGTGGAAACTGGAATCCCTAATACATTGCTGGTAGAATGAAAAATGATGCAACTGCTAAGAAAATTATATGACGGCTCATCAAAAAATTAAAAATATCTAGCAATGTGATCCAGCAATTCCACCTTGGAAATATGCCCAAAAGAACTGAAAGAAAGATACACSGTATATTCATATTCATAGTAGCATTATTCACAACAGTCAAAAGGTAGAAGGAGGGCTGAGGTGGTGGCTCAGCAGTAGAGCACTAGCCCAGCATGTGCAAGGTGCTGGGTTCAATCCTCACCACCACATAAAAAAAATAAATAAATAAAATGAAGGTATTGTGTCCAACTACAACTAAAATATATATATTTTTTWAAAAAAAGGTAGAAGGAACTCAAGTGATAATTGACAGAAATAAACAAAACATTGAATATATATACAAAATGAAATATTATTCAGTCTTAAAAACCTGATGACATTAGGCAGTGTGAAATAAGTCAGTCACAAAAGGATAAAGATTGTATGGTTCCATTTAAATAAAATACAAACCACAAATTGATAAAAGGAAAGAGAGGTTACAGGGGAAAGAAAGTGAACAAGCTCAGTTTTAGATATGTTAAGTCTGTGCAAAAGTATGAGACATTCATGGAAGGGATGTTCAAAAGACAGCTGGAATAAACTAGTCTGTAGCTCAGAAGAGTGATTTGCCACAAAGCTACAGTAAATGAATCATCAATCTATAGATAGTAGCCAAGGCAAAGCAAGAGAGATGTGGCCCTTGGACAACACCAACTTTTAATGGGTGAGCCAATGGAAAATTCCTTAAGAGAGAGAGAGAAAGAGAGAGAGAAACACAGAAAAATTACAATGGCATCAATAAAAGTAAGGAAAGCTGGGGCTAGAGTTATAGCAGTGGTAGAGTACTCGCCTCACATGTGTGAGGCACTGGGTTTGATCCTCAGCACCACATAAAAATAAAAAATAAAGATATTGTGTTCATCTACAACTTAAAAATACACATTTTTTTTAATAGTAAGGAAAGCTTGCTTCAAGAAGGAAGGGGCATCAGGGGTGTCAAATGAGGGCTGAAAAAGATCCATTGTATTTAACGAGAAGGAGATGATTGGTAACTATAGTGAGAATAGTTCCTAAGAAGTCTCTTGAAGCTCTTCTTCAACTATAGGTGAAAAAGTGACCTGAGAGGTCTTTTCTGAGCAGAGGAAATAAGTTTGAACATCAAAGAGAGTTTTGCTGGAGCAGTTTCAGAAATTAGAATCTATTTTCCAGATTCATCTAAGACTATAACCACGGTGGTGTCCAACATACAGCTACAGCCACAAGTGCCACAGCAGTAAAAGCACTCACTCTGTAATTCAGAAAATCTGTAGTACGGGTTCTGCAATACAGTGTGACCTTGCGGACGCAGATCTCCAATTATTTCATGGGGAAAATAATGGCTATCTCCCCAGAGTTGTTATAAAAAACAAATATGAGGGGAAACTCCCACAAAAGTTCTTTGAAAGAATAAATGCACCAATGTCAGTTAATCTTACATATGATCCTTACAAAAAGAGAATGAGCTGAGTAGGGCTTGGGCCATTGCTGAGACCACCATTTTTTATTTTTAATTTGTTCTAATTAGTTATACATGACAGTAGAAGACTTTATTTTTTTAATCTTACTAATACATCAGGTTATTCATTATATCTGCAGGCCATCAGCTTCATTAATTTTCAAGATCATCTAGATGATAAATCACTGTGTCAAATATAATCTGCTTTTGACTATTTTTTTTTTTAAGTAAAAGAAGTAGTCTAGGGAAAAAACTGTTAGAAAGATGGTGACATCTTTGAACATCAATTTTTTAGCTTTATAAATTTGGGGGTCATATCTTCTATTTATGTATTTGTAGCTTTTGAACATGGGTTTGATACAAGATGAAATCAGGAAATTCATTCAGGGCCTACCACAGGAGTCAGGAGGGCACTTGACTGATATGGGCCAGCAGACTAATGGGAAGTGGTCAGGACAGGATGTAGGGAAGATGAAACCTTGCTTATTATTTTGTGGTAGAGAGACAATGATTACACAGGCCCAGAGTGGGGAGCCTTAGGTTTCAGACTCGGCTCCAACACTTTCAGTAAAATACTTCTTATTCTCCATCTTTTCACCTATAAATGATGAATTAGTTTCACTTCATTTGTTCTCACATTTCAAAATTATTTTCTAATTAGGTTTTGGGAACTATATCACAAGTAAATGGCTGGTCCTATTACATTCAGCTGTCTTATGAAAAAAGCATTCCTAATTCTTTTTCATAAGTTATCTTTTTTTTTTTGCAAATGATATATTGAAAGTAGGAAACCTTAATAACTTATCTGATATCACACAGARCTTAAGTGACAGATGAAATTGTAATCTAAGTCACCATCTCTAAATACCATACTCTTTTCCCTTACAGAGGATATGTTCATTGCTGGGCTTTATAACTACCCTTAACTGAGTGTCAACTATGAGACAGACATGTTATTATAGACTCAATCAACAAATTTAGGGACCCACTAACCCAACCATCTGTTTAGGTCATCACCCCATTTTACAGTTGAGGAAATTGAAATTTAGATTGCCTAAATAACTAATGTGCCACACCTAAATAATGGGAGAGCCTAGATTCCAATCCAGATCTGAAAGACATATAACAAAGTTATCAATATCAAAATAGTCACTTATGTCAAATCCTAACAAAATGGTGTCAGGAAGTCATGAAGAAGAGCTTTTATAGACAAATGCCTGTAATAGGGCTTATAATAAGAAATTCCTTCACATGTGCCTATTATAGGATTTATTGCAAGAAATTCCTCAAGACCACAGTATTCCAGATAAGCCACTTGTACAAAGACCCTGCCTAGCAACAATGACCTCAGGCCAAATCCTGCAACTAGCCCCTTTAACCAAAGGTCTTTGTTTCATAATAGTTACATGAACTTTTTTTCCTTAAAAGTTTCCCTTTTGCTCCAGGCCTCCTGGGTGTGCCTGTGGTTCACTATAGCATGCGTATCCTGAGTTGCACTTTTGCACATTCCCAAATAAACTCTTTGCATGGAGCTTCATCTCTCTACATTTTTATTTCAGGTTTGTTAGCAAAACCTGTCCTCTTCCCAGACCACCTATCAGACCTCTGGGTGATGCCTGGATATTGACACCATCAGAACACTTTAAGAAACAGAATAATGTTTACGTCTTAACTACATTCCAGAATTCTAGCAGAGAAATCTATCTGAGGCCTTCAGAAAAAGAAATGTCCCAGTCTGTATAGAGCTCATTGTTATGGTTAACCAAAACAACAGGTATTCAGGCGTTCACTATACTTACTATTGTCTTAGGCAGCCAGGGCTGCCATAACAAAATACCACAGACTGGAGGCTTAAACAACAGACATTTAGTTCTTACAGTTCTGGAGGCTGGAAGTCCAGATCAAGATGTCAGCATGGTTGGGTTCTAGTGACAGGTCTTCCTGGCTTGCAGATGGCCACCTTCTTGTGTCTTCATAAAGCAGAAAGAGCTCTGATGTCTCTTCTTCTTTTAAGAGCACTAATCCCATAATGAAGTCCCCACCCTTATGATCTCATGTAAACCTATAAAGGCCCATCTTTAATTAACATCCTATTGGGGGTTAGAGCTTCAACATATGAATTTTAAAGGGACACAAACATTCAGTCCATAACACAATCTATGAGCATTTTAAAGTATATGGTACATTACATTCTCTAAATTCACTTTTTCAAGATATTCAGGAGGTAGCAATAATAATGCCATAGGATTATTACAGGTGTAAAAATACAATTTGTGTATAGAATGCTGGGCTCAGTTCTGAGTGCACAGTAAATACTCAGTAAAGGAGCTTTAAAAGAGGGGAGGAGTGGAAAGGGAGACAGAGAAGAAAAAAACTGTCAATTGGATAGGAGATAGCTATTTACTGGAATACACTGTATCACAAAATGTATTTCATTTCCCATCTAATACTTCAGAGAGAATTTCAAATTGGGAGTGTTTTCCTTTAATTCCTGTGCCATCACCCCATGGCCTTTGAAGCTGATAACACCACAATGCACTTGACTCCCTCAATTTTTGCCCTGCTGTACCTACCTTAAACTACTGGTCAGCAGCAGGCTTGTACCATTTCAAAGGGAAGATTCCCTAGTCCTGGATTCTCCCTTAGATTATTCATGGAGCAGTGAAAGGGGCAAATATTTTAAGACAGATCAACTTGCCATAACAGAGAGCACATATACTTTAAAATCATAAAGACCTAAATTCAAATTTTTCCTCATTCCTTAGATGCTAGATATATTAGCCAAGTCAATGAACTGATTTAAACTATCACAGTTTTTAAAAAAAATCTGTTAAAGAGTACTGTGAAGTTTATGATTAATAAGATTAATCATAATCAATACACACAAACATACATGCATAGAACCTAGAATGTGTCCACCAAATAGCAATTAATACTTGTTAACATAACCATTACTATTAGTAACAATAAGTATATACTGTAATGTACTACGTTTTGCCATTTGTTTCTAATTATCTCATTTGGATCTTCCATTTCCAGCAATATAAAAGAAAAAATAACTCAAAATTATGCCTATTGAATGACACCTAGAAAATCTGGATGAAGTATAACAAATATCTTATTCTTAGGTAAATCTGAGATTTAAGAAAGAAAAAGAAATGAATTATTCAGGGATCAAAAAATGAAGGTGAAACTAAAAATCAGGAAGTTGATGTCCATCTGCTCTGGTTAGGGTTTGGGTCCTAGCAACCAAAGGGCTTGCATTCTATAGCCAGCAGGGATAGGAGATAAGGCTATGGATCTTAGAGAGGCCAAGGGCTGGAACTTAAATTTCCCTGTATAAAACTGGGACCCTAAAGGAGCTGTATTGTAAGTTAAAAATTAATAAATATCTCTATATCCAAAAGTACAGAGATACAACATGAGCCAGAGTCATGGCACACACCTGTAATCCCAGCAACTCAGGAGGCTGAAGCAAGAGGATCAGAAATTCAAAGCCAGCCTTGACAAGTTAAGAAATTAAGAAAAAAAAAATGGATTGTGGGGATATAGATCAGTGGTAGAGTGCCAACAGGGTTCAACTGCCAGTACCACAGAAGGAAGGAAGGGAGAAGAAAGGAAGGGGAGGGAGTGAGAGAAGAGATAAAACAGGGACACTCAAGTTAAAAAAGAAAAAAAAAAACTCCCTATGAATTTGAAACTTTGGCCTGAATGAAGCCTGAATTTATAAAACTTTGTGGAGTTTATACTACCTGTGTGGTCCTAGAATCTCCATCAGGGAAATGAACCTTAAACATAGTTCCATCCTGATAATATTCCTTGGTGATTAGCAGAAAGAAAGAAAGAAAGAAAACCCCTCCTTCTAGAGAAGTACAAATTATTTAATTCTCACAACTGTCCTATAAAATAGACCATATATATATTTTTTAATAGAAAATATTATCCAATTTATAATGGAAATTAAGTTTTGGCTGGGGTTGTGGCTCAGTGGTAGTGCTTGCCTTGCATGTGTGAGGCCCCGGGTTTGATCCTCAGCACAATAAATAAATAAATAAACAAACAAACAAATAAATAAATAAATAATCAATCAATCGATTCATTGACAAAAAATATTTTAAAAAGAAAAGGAAAAGAAATTAAATTTAGGGAGGTTAGCAAATTGTCCAATATTACCTAGCTATTACCTGATCATGCTGAGGTTTGGACTTGGTTGTTCATTCAACTGAAACACATTACCAAGTTCTGTTATGAGTCAGGAAGACAAAGTCTATTCCCTTTCCAATATATCACACTGCCTAATATTTTGGGGGGTAAATCAATAAATAAATGCAACTATTTCCTTCCTTCTCAAGCTTAGCAACTCAGTAAGAATGAAGACAGCCAGGATCACAGCAATTACGAAACCAAAGCCCCACAAAGCTCCCAAGGACTCTATCTGCTAAATAACTCTGCCCTCTGGCAAAGGATCTTAGGTTGCTAGCATATTCTCAACTGGGAAGGGGAAAACCATCCAGCTAGATAGATGTGGGGTACTACCCCATGGGTCTTAGTTACTAGAATTACTTTTATTAGAATAAATACACAATAGACATTCAAATAGAAAATATTTAGTTTTAAGGTTAAATAATAATGAAAATGTACACAGTTGTGAAAACATAAACATGTGAAATTGAAAGTTAGGGATAATAGCTACAGTTGTATCTGGCTTAACTTCCAATATATTTCAAAATGTATGGTGGCATGGTATTGAGACAATTCTGATTTAATAACATAAGCAGCTGGGGCTGGGAGTATAGCTCAGCAGTAGAGCACTTGCCTAGCATGTTTGAGACCCTGGTTTAATCCCAAGCATCACAGTAAAATGAAAACAAAGATGAGAAGCTGCAAATGGTAGCAGTTTTTTGTTTGTTTGTTTTAAATTAACATGCAGTCTTAGACAATGATAATAAAATATGTATGCATGCTTTATAAAAATAGTTCTTAATCTTTTTTAAAAAATCAAATATTTGAGGACATCGAAACACTCTCATAGTGTTCTTATAGGACAAAGTTTAGACACAAGCAAACAATGGGTTCTCTGAGATCCTTCTACTCTCAGTCTTAGGAGGCTGTACACMATACACAAAAAGTAGGTAAGGAGTTTGAGAAACCGATACATGCCACCACTTCTACTTATTTTTATTCTGGGACAAAACCCTTCAATGCTCCCAACTCCAAACTTGCTACCAAGACCTAAATCTATCTTTCCTTCTTTCCCATTTCTTTTCTAATCTATAAACTCCATCTAAGCTTGAGGATTGACAGTACCCTGTATAGTCAAGAATTGATCACACATTCTTTTTTGTTGTTGTTGTTATGTTTTTGGTGTTGGGAATTAAATCCAGGGCCCTATGCATGCTAAGCATGCATTCTACCACTGAGCTGCCCCAGGCCTGACCAGACTACCTCAATTCCATGTGATTGTTTATACTGTTACCTCCACCTTCATTTATATTTATTAATGTTTTTGAAGGTTTGTGATGTGCTAATCACCATGCTAGACAACTTACATCTTCTCATTCACTTCCACTGCCATAAGTTCTCTCTGACTTTATTTGTTTGTAAATAATAATAATCATTACTAAATACTTACTTTGTAAGTGCTGAGTGCTTTACACTAGCTCCTGTAATTCTTTCAGCACCCCTATAAAGTAGGGTAATGTCCCTGTTTAATACATGAGAACACCGAGGCTCTAGAAGTTTGGAAAACTTGCCTAAAGTTGAGTAAAGGAAAGTATGCTTTCTGGAAAAGTACTGTCCAAAATAAGAGTTGATTTCTTAAGGAATAAAGTAAAGCAGTCAGGGAACAGCAGCATTCAAGACAAAGAGACAACATAAATAAAAGTACAGTAGTAAAAAACAGCTGGTCTGCAGTTAATATCTTCAGAATCATCTGAGCCAAGTTTGAAGATCTAATTTTGTTTTGTACTTTTGACTACATGACTTTGATTTTTCTCATCTGTAAAATGGTGATAATAAGCTCTACTATGTAGAATTTGCTTTAAGAATGAAGTGAAATAAGGTATATGGAAGTGCCCAGCATAGGCTAGACCCATGATAGGTGCCCATTGTTAACAATTCAATGACTCTTAGTGAAGAATGTCACACTTTCTTCATTACTTGACCTCAGATATATCTTCTCCAAGTTCCCAAGTGACTTTTGAAGGCACAGCACACCAAGTCACTCAGAAAGTTATTTTGCAATGACATCAACCCCCATTTCTCACAAGAGCCTTTCTCACACCACTCACCCGTGTAGGCCATGTTCTTAGGGTTGCCATAAGGAGCCCCAGGCTGCACGGGGCTGTAAACAGGGTTCATTGTGGAAGACTGAGGATCCTACAGAGAAAACAAAGAAAACAGAATTAATTATTAATTGCTCATTTTCCTTGAACATAAGTTTTTCTTCTAAAATCTCCAATTTATGCTCCAAGGGAAGAATCATAGTTTAGTAATAAAAAGAACTAAACAACATACTATACAAAATACTTTTCCCATTTTACAGATAAAGATATTGAGAAGCAGAGCAGTGATACAACTTGTTTAATGTCAACTCAGGTTCTCAGTTCAGTGTTAATTATCCTACTGAGAGCTCTGTCATTAGTCATTAGTGTGGCATTGGCCAGGTCACTCTCTCTCTCTCTACATTTTAATATCCTGATATAAAATGAATTAGTTTAGGATCTCTGAGGTGCTTTCTATTCTAATGATACTAGCTCAAAATTATATGCTGGAAAATTATATACTTCTGTGGTTCACTAAGGGAGTTCCGTGCCTGATGATGAACACAACAGCCTGCTGGAAAGAAGAGCAGCAAGTGTCTTACCTATCCCTGTACCTGCAGAGGACAAGATACCAGTTACGCAGCTTTAAAGAAAAAAAGGTGAAGAGAGGTTCACTGCCATTGAACAATTTAAAAAAATATTTTTTAGTAATAGATGAACACAATATCTTTATTTATTTATTTGTATATGGTGCTGAGGATAGAACCAAGTGCCTCACCCATTCGAGGCAAGTACTCTACCATTGAGCCACAACCCCAGCCTCCCATTGAACATTTTAATGTACACAAGAAAACAGCCAGAATTTCTTTACATATTCATTCAAGAGAAAAAATAAACTTAGAAATTTGTGTGCAGGAACTGTCACTTGCACAAGTGTTCTGTTAATTATCTTAATGAAGTACATTCTCCTATTCTGATTAATGGAAAATCTGTCATTAAGTTCTATTAACCAGCCAATTTGTTCCAACCTTGTTTAGGTAGCCATTTCTTACACACAGGCTGACACATATTTGAAAATGTGTCTACAAATATATTATTTTAAAAAAATGTTTTTATAGATGAACACAATACCTTTATTTCATTTTTATGTGGTGCTGAGGATCAAACCCAGTGCCTCACACATGCTAGACAAGCACTCTACCAACTGAGCTATAGCCCTAGCCCTAAATATATTATTTACACTTCATAAAAATCAAAATATTCTTTCCTAACTAAGTTCATATGATAGATGGGCAATTTTTTAGGTCATTAACTTTTCTAACACCTCAGAATAGGAAATAAGTTGAATGTTGAAAGCAGGCAGTGAACAGCTGGCCTGATGACAATTGTTCTGAGACTAATTAATCTGTCCAGGAATCTGAAATGAGAGGTAGAGAAAGGATAGATTCCCAAGGAGAGGAAGTTAGGGCCATCAGACAGGCAAAAGGCATAATGCTGCCAGTCGATTTCAGAGGCCAGAACTTCCCGAGGCCTACACAATATGTAGCCTTGGCAAACCACCTCAGGGTCACAGCCTAGATAAACTACCATCTGTCTATAAACTAAAACCACAACAACTTGAAGATGAAAGTTAAAGAAGATATGTATATTTTAGCTCAACTTAGGAAAAAATATTTCACAACCAGAGTTTAAAATTACAAGAGATCACAGATATTATGTCACAAACTATAAAGTGACATGCAGAGTAAACAAGGATGGTATGACAATGGTGCAAATGTGAGGATGACAACACAGAGGACTGCTTATATACTTTTCCTGTCTTGGGTGTCTCCCTTCTATTTATCCAGTTCTCTGCATAGTAAGCCAGCATGAGGGAGACTATTAAGGTGCTGCTATGGTGAATGGATCCACAAAAAGCTTGTGGAAACTTACTGGTCATTGTGACAGTATTAAGGCGTGGGACCCTTAAGAGGTGATTAGGCCATGAGGGATCTGCTCTCATGAATGAATAAATTAAAGCTGTTATCATGGGAGAGAGTTCCTTATAAGAGAATGAGTTTTGGGGCTGGGATTGTGGCTCAGTGGTAGAATGCTCACCCAGCACGTGTGAGGCCCTGGGTTCGATCCTCAGCACCACATAAAAATAAATAAATAAAGGTATGGTGTCCAACTACAACTAAAAAATTAATATTAAAAAAAAGAATGAGTTTGGCTCCCTCTTGCTCTCTTTTACCTTCTTTTTACCCTTCTTCTCTTCTGCCACATGATGACACAGTAAGAGGGCACTTGCCAGATCCCAGAACACTGATACTGAACTTCCTAGCTTCCCCAAACTGCCCCAATAAATCTACTATAAATTACCCAGGCTACAGAATGCCTTTACAGCAGCACAAAAAGACTAAGACAAGTGCTGGGCAGCACAACTGAGCCTATAAACATCAGGGCACCCTCTTATTGAGAAAGCACTCTGTATTGCTGATTGAAGAAAATACAAAATTGTTTTTCATAATCAAAGGAACTGGTCTCCTATTGTTTCAAAATGAAGGCAACTGGCACAGGAAGAGACCATGCCTGGGGCAGTATTTCATACCAGCATCAATTCCAATCCCAAGTAATGACTGACAGAAAAGAGATCTGTCAGGGGTTAAAAATTTGAAATAAGCTTATGACAGCCACTTCTGGGAAGCTGCCTAAGGGCAGACAGGATTCCCAGTTTCCAAATTAAAGTCAGTATTTTATGATAGAATCTAAGTAAGTATTTAAGTTCCAAAAAAGATTTTGATGTCCAAACAGTTTAAGGAGCACTCTTTCCCAAATGCAATTTCCATACATAAAGAAACTAAATAGCAGTGAACAAGAACAACAAAAATCTCTACTTATATTCTAACTGGGGAAGAGGAGACAGAATTTTCTAAAAACTGAAATACCAGTATATTAGATGGCAATAAATGCTATGAAGAAATCAACTTAGAGTGAGTCTAGGAATGCTAGGACAAGACTTTCTATTTTAAATATGGTGATTAGTCAAAATGTCAGAGTAACATCTGAGCAAAGACCCGAATAAATCGAAAGAGCCATGTTATACTTTAACAAGAAACTGTCCAAGCAGAGGAAATAGCAAATAAAAACTCCCTGGCAGAGTAGCTCAGTGGTAAAGCACATTTGCCCAGCATGAGCCAGGCAAAAATGCCCTTAAGTGAAAATATGTTTGAGAAATACTTTGTAGGCTAGGTTGTAATGGATTTTTCGTTGTTGTTGTTGTTGTTGTTGCATGCGCGGTAAGTGCTCAACCACTAAGCTACAACCCGCCCCCTAATGGTAAATTTTAGCATATTAAATGCCTGAATTAAGAAATACTTGGTAAAGAATTATTTGGGGTTTGTCTGTAAGGTTGCTCTCAGAGAAGATTAGCATTTGAGTTTTAGCAGATGAGGTGGGGAAGATTTGCCCTCAGAGAGGGCAGGCACCCCTCTCATTGGCCACCTAGGACAGAATAAATACAGAAGGTGAATTGGTCTCTGCTCCAAGAGCTGGGATAGACCTTCCCCTTTTTAAAAATTTTTATTTGTTCTTTTCAGATACACGTGACAATAGAGTATATTTTGACATATTATACATACATGGAATATAATTTCCCATTCTTGGAATTGAACATGATAGGAAGTTACACTGGTCATGTATTCATACATGTACATAGGAAAGTTATGTCCAATTCATTCTACTGTCTTTCCTATTCCCATCCCTCCTCTCATTCATTCCCCTTTGTCTATCTGAATGAACTTCTATTCTTCCTCCACTCCCATTATGTGTTAGCATCTGCATATCAGACAGAACATTCAGTCTTTGGTTTGGGAGGGATTGGCTTATTTCACTTAGCATGATAGTCTCCAGTTCCATCCATTTACCAGCAAATGCCATAATTTCATTCTTCTTTATGGTTGAGTAATATTCCACTGTGTATACATATCACACTTTCTTTATCCATTCATCTGTTGAAGAGTACCTAGGTTGGTACCATAGCTTAGCTACTGTGTACTGAGCAGCTATAAACATTGATGTGGCTGTGTCCCTGCAGCATGCTGATTTTACGTCCTTTGAGCATAACATTAGGAATGGGATAACTGGGTCAAATGGTTCCATTCCAAATTTTTTGAGGAATCTCCATACTGCTTTCCATAGTGTTGTATCAATTTGCAGTCCCACCAGCAACAGGGTATGAGTGTACCCTATTGTTGCTTGTATTCTTAGTAACTGCCATTCTGACTGGAGTGAGATGAAATCTTAGAGTACTTTTGATTTGCATTTCTCTATTTGCTAGAAAATGTTGAACATTTTTTCATATATTTGTTGATCTATTGTATTTCTTCTTCTGTGAAGTGCCTGTTCAGTTCTTTTGCCCATTTATTGATTGGGTTATTTGGCTTTTGGTGTTGAGTTTTTGAGTTCTTTATATATCCTGAAGATTAATGCTGCATTTGAGGTGGCAAAGATTTTCTCCCATTCTGTAGACTCTCTTCATGTTCTTGATTCTTTCCTTTCCTGTAAAGAAGCTTTTCCCATTTATTGATTCTTGATTTTACTTCTTGCACATTAGGAGTCTTCTTGAGGAAGTCGGTTCCTAAGCCGACATTATGGAGAGTTGGGCTTACTTTTTCTTTTTGTAGGTGCAGGGTCTCTGGTATAATGCGTAGGTCCTTGATCCACTTGGAGTTAGGTTTTGTGCTTGGTGAAAGATAGGGGTCTGATTCATTTCGCTACATATGGATTTGCAGTTTTCCCAGCACTAATGTATGTATTTCTTTTCTCCAATGTATGTTTATGATGCCTTTGTCTAGTGTGAGATAACTGTATTTATGTGGGCTTGAGGATAGGCCTTTTCTTACTGCCTTGAACATCAGAACTCTCAGCTCATGGGCATTTGGACTCGAGGACTTACACCATCAGCTCTCCAGGTTCACAGGCTTTTGGCCTTGAACTGAGAGTTACACCATTAGCTTTCTCGGTTCTGGGTTCTGAGGCCTTTAGACTTGAATTGAGCTCGGCTACCAGCATCCCAAGGTCTTCAGTTTGCAGACTGCCTGTCATGTACTCCTTAGCTATCATAGTTGTGTGAGC